GCTGTTTTACATACTGCTGATAAATATTTGAATGAGAACAGTTGGCAAAAAAAAAGGACACAAGTGTCTTTGGGTGTGTGGATGTAACTGTCTCCTTTCAGTCCAAGTGTTCTGTTTGACTTGCCTGTCATGTTAATTGCTTCTGTTGCTGTACAGCTAATTATGTTACACCTCTGTGGAACAATTAAAATTTGGACTAAGAATGCTCATATCCAAAGTAATTAAGTAATTTGTTTTTATTTTGTTATCTAAAAATTCTTTCTCTGTTGTTGTTGAAGGATGTTGAGAAGGAGAGAGAACCTCATGTTTATCTCAGTAAAGAAGAAATTAAAGAGAAGATACAAAGCTATAATTCATCTGTCACTGATAAATTAAAGATGACCTTGGTAAGTTTTCCATAGGACTCCTGTAATTTTTAATAGGAATAATTGAATGGTAACTTTTTAGTGCATTGTGAATCATTTTGGTCTCAGCATCTTACACATGAAATTAACTCTGTTTTAATGGCTTTGTAAAAGGCTCTTTTTTAGATCTGTACATTAAATCTCATATCTGAGATTTTTATATTTTATCCATATAGCTCTCTTTATATTGACTGAAACAAACTGTAGTAGAAAAAAATGCCTTGTTTGAAATGTCTCAAAGATAAAATCTCATTTGACACCTAAGATGTAAATTTGTCAGATGAAAACTGTCAGCTGATAAACATGAAGATCACAGAATTGCTCAAGTTGGAAGGGACCTCTAGAGATCTAGTCCAACTCTTCCACTGAAGCAGGATCACCTAGAGCACTTTACACGAAACTGCATCCTGGTGGGTTTTGAATATCTCCAGAGTTGGAGACTCCACAACCTCCCTGGGCAGCCTATTCCAGTGCTCTGTCACCCTCAGTGTAAAGTTTTTCCTCATATTTAAATGGAACTCCCTACATTCCAACTTGTACCCGTTGCCTGTTGTTCTGACACTGGGAACTACTGAGAAGAACCTGTCTCCATCTTCCTTGCACCCACCCTTTAGATGCTTGTATACATATATTTGTACGTATATATTTATCTTGTTCATGTACATACATTTTTGTCAGGTATCTCTGATAAAGATGCTCAACCTGTGAGAAAAGTTTAAAAATGCAATATT